GACATCAGAAAATCCACAGTGGACAGAAACCTTATCAATGTCTGGAATGTGGGAATTTTTTCCGTCAAAAAGACCATCTGGGAAACCATGAGAGAATTCACACAGGGGAGAAACCTTACAAGTGTTGGGAATGTGGGAAGAGCTTTTCTCACACGGGAAGTCTTCGGCTCCATGAGAAGATTCATACAGGAGTAAAATCGTACAAATGCTTTGAGTGTGGGAAATGTTTCACCTGGAGTTCAGGTCTTCGGACCCACGAGAAAACACACAGAGGGGAGAAAAATGAAAAGTGCCTCGAATGTGGGAAATGTTTCACCTTGAAATCAAACCTGGTGCGACATCAGAGAATTCACACTGGAGAGAGACCCTATGAATGTCCAGAATGTGAGAGAAGATTTATGTGTTCTTATGCGCTTCGGAGACACCAGAAGGGGCACAAAGGGGAGAAACCTTATGAATGTGGGAAATGTGGAAAAGGTTTCCTTACAAAAACAGAGCTTCAGTTTCACGAGAGAATCCACACAGGGGAAAAACCACACAAATGTGGGGAGTGTGGGAAATGCTTTTCCGTAAAACAAAACCTTGGAAGGCATGAGAGGCTCCACACAGGAGAGAAACCGTACAGATGCGTAGAATGTGGGAAATGTTTTGCTCGACAGGGAAATCTTTGGACACATCATAAAATCCACACAGGGGAGAAGCCATATCCATGCTTCGAATGTGGACAATTTTATTCTTCCATATCACACCTTAGAAGTCATGTAAAAACTCATACAGGGGAAAGAAATTACAAATGTTTAGACTGTGGGAGAGCATTTCCTCATTCATATTCCCTTAGAAACCACAGCCGAATCCATACAGGAGAGAAGTCCCATAAATGTTCGGAGTGCGATAAATGTTTTTCTCGGAAAGATACTCTTGTGATGCATCAGAGAATCCACACTGGAGAGAAGCCATATAAATGTCTGGAGTGTGGGAAATGTTTTGCCCACCCTTCATCACTTCGCAAGCACACCAGAAGTCCCACAGGGGAGTCGCCTTACAAGTGTGCCGAGTGTGAGAAAACCTTTCATTGTAAATCTCAGCTAAAAAGGCATCAGAAAGTCCATATTAGAGAGAAACCCCTTCAGTTGTGAGGAATGTGGAAAACATTTTTTGAAACGTCACATCTTACAATTCACCAGGAACTTCACACAGTCCCAGAAGGGAAATCCTACAGTTTTTTGGTGTGGGGAAACCTTCACAATGACGAAACCAGCATGGTAATTTTTTGTCCCAGTTTCTTGTGCTTTTTGTACACCAAAGCATCCGCACAGGAGAGGTTCCACAAATGCTTCAGCAGAAACCAAAATTTTATTTCTGATTT